GGGGGCCCCCCCGGTCGTCGGCTTTCGCGACCAGCCGCAGGATGAACACGTTGGCTAGCGTCTGGCCCTGGTCCTCCAGCTCCTCCACGCGGAGCAGGCCCCGCGGCGCTGAGTCAAACACCTGGTACTTATCCCTGGGGGCCGGAGAAGCAGGCCAGGGAGTCAGTCCCAAAGAGGCCTGGGAGGTGGGGGGAGGCAGGAAAACTGGAACCCAGCAGGACCATGCTGGCCATTCTTCGCCTCCTCCTGGAAGCCCTCACCCATGCCCATCTTCCCTGCCCCAGAAGAGTGACCACCTGTCTCAGGGTGTGACAGAATATAGGAACAAGGGGTCAGCCCTGACTTCCGGCAGTGGCCATGCTGCTGGGCACTATGTCAGACGCTGAGCTGGGCTCTCTGATCCCTCAGGCAACCCACTTACAGGAGGGGAAACTGAGGCTTGGGGAGGCTGAGACTTCTGCTCTGACCCCAAAGCCTGAGCTCAGTTTGCTGGCTTCCCTGCCTCCCCCAGGCCACGGCCAATCCCAGTGCTCCTGGCTCTCCTGTCCATCTGGGGCGCCAGCAGCCCGCAGGACGCCCGGTGGCTGGCTGGCACCAACTCACCCCGGAATCTGGCGGCAGATGACCAGCAGGTCGTTGAAGAGGAAGAGGTAAATTTCCCGGAAGAGTTTCTTGGTCCGCAGGGTTCGGGACGTCTTCGGGCCCGACATCTGCTGCAGCTCGCCCTGCTTCAGCAGCCAGCGGGAGTGGGAGATGATGGGCACCGACTGCAGGAGGGCGGGTGTCAGGACTCTGCCTCCGCCCCCGGCCCGCCCATACTGGGTCACACTGAGGGCCGGGGGGCGGAGCGCCGGGGGGAATGGAGCGTCCTGGATGGACGGATGGATGTGGGGAAGTGGCAGGTGTGTGCTATGTTGTGTGGGGGCCACCATGAGCCAAGGGCACATGTTCGTGCCTGTGTTCCGGCGTGTGCCCGTGTGCTCGTCGGCACCTGTGTGAGTGTGTGTGGGCGCGACTGCACCGTGTACTGCATGTGCCTGTCGGCACCACCCCACCCGGCTCTGCCCTTGCCAGCAGCACAGAGGAGGGCCAAGGTCATGGGGCGGTGCAGACCTCGGCCACCGTGTGGCTCCTGGCCTCAGCCTGGGGGTTAGACTGCGTCGGGGGCCCAGAAGACCACCTGTGCACCCTCGGGTCAGACTAGGCCTGACCTCAGCGCCTCCCTGGGCTCTGTGTGGAGGTGAGGCCCAAAGCACCAGAGGCCCAGGCCCCGCCACCTCTAGGGGTTCACTAAAGCTGGAAGTAGCTGAGGCAGTAACTGAGAGCCCAGTTGTTCTCGGGAGGCAGCTCTGGTCCCTGCCCCAGGCTCTCAACTACTCTCAGTGGATGAGTCCAGGCCTGTGTGAGTGGGCGTGGCCTGTGGGTGTGGCTGGGCAGGCAGGGGCGTGGCCAGGGCGGAGGCATGGCTGGTAGGGGGCCGGAGCTAAGCAGGGACCAAGGCTCCAGGGCAGCTCTGTCTGGGGCAGGGGACGGTGGTGACGCAGGCTCACACCTATCCCTCGGGCTCACCTTGATCTTAAACTCCATCTTCTTCTGAATGCTAATCATCTGCTCGGTGCGGCTCATTTTCCTCACACCCTCGTTGCAGGCCTTTACCACCTGTAAGGGAAGAGAAGTGTACATCATGCTGGCCACCGACTGTCCCCGCCGTGCCTGGGCACCTGCCCAACAGCTGAGACCGGCCCTCCCTGCTGGGGTAGGGCTCCCGCCTCCAGCACATCGCTTAGTTCTGGCCGGGACGTGGTGCTGGGTGCTTGCTGGGAAGCCAGCTCCCTTCCTCACCCATCAGGCTGAAAAGGATGGAGCGCAGGGGTGGGGGGGCCCTCCAGGTTGACCTCGCACACCCTGGGAGGTGGGCAGCACCCCCGCCCTCCTGGGAGGCAGCCCAGTACCCGGTCACCTGCGGTAACCCTCCCTTTCCTGGGACTCTGGGGACTCATGCACGTCAGAACAGAGCCCGGGCTGCAAGTACACGCCCAAAGCTGGCAGTGCGAGGTGTCCCCTGCGGTGTTACGTACAGAGAGGTCCCTGCCCCAGGCTCTCAGCGGCTCTCAGTGGACAAGTCAGGCCTGTGTGAGTGGGCGTGGCCGGTGGGGGTGTGGCCGGGCAGGCGGGGGCGTGGTCAGGGCGGAGGCATGGCTGGTAGGGGGCCTGTCCCTCTAAAGGCCATCACTGGGCTGGTTAACATAATTATATGCCATGTCACGAGGACTACCACTGCAGCTCCGCTGGCCTTGACACGGAGACGGAGCTCCTGCCACACCGCTGTTTGCAAAGGACACAGTTGCGTGTGTACATGTGTGTGCGTGTGCATACGTGCATGCCTCTGGAGGGGCAAGCAGAGCCTGTCAGTAACGGGGTGCAAGACAGCCAGGATCATTCTTGTCTTCATTTTACTTGTGAGCATTTTCTGAATTTAGCTGTATTGAGCATCACCTACTTTTATCCGTTAGAGAAGGAGCCAAGCTTTATTTAAAAAAAATAAATAAAAAAAAGAGCTATGAGAAACAGAGTAGACTTTTCCCTAAACAAAAAGGGAGAGAGAGCAGAAACTTAAAGACAGGAAAGCACCGCTGGCCTGGGCTGACGATGGCAGGGAGACCGCTCAGGGGTCTCTCCCCGGGCCTCTCCCAGGCCACAGTGTCACCGACCTGTCTGCTGTGGTCCAGGGTAGCTGCTGCCTGGTGGGGTTGAAATGAAGTCAAATCTGATCAGGTGGAAGGGAAGCTCTCCGTCTGGGGGTGGGCAATGGCCCCATAAATGCTGCCCAGTCATGGCTGCTGACCCTCGTGGACCGGCCTGCGGGAGGCTCCCCCATGGGTTATGCACAGCTGGGGAGCCAGCCTCCCAGTGCTCGATGATCGAAGGTGTAATTGCCAGAGCATTTGGGGCAAGCAGGCCTCGGTGAGAGGCAGGCGGTGGGACCCATCCAAGGAAACGCCCAGACTCTCGGCTCAGACCACCACCGGCCACCCTTGGGTGTGAGTTCCTATTCAGCTTCTGCGGCTGGGTGACAAGGAAGCAGGAAGGACTTCCTACACCTCACCCTCCACCTTGCGGGTCTCCAGCACCACAGGGCCAGCGCTTTGAGAGCCCTGGAGGACAGAGCCCTCACGACACCATTGGCACTCCCTGGCCCGCTAGGAGTTCCGGGGTGGGGGCGGCGGTTCTCTCTGTGCTGCTGGGATGGTCCCTGCACTTGGGCCGGGACAGCCTGGGCCAGGCCTGCAGGTCCTCTCAGCTACATACAGGAGGTGGAGCACGAGGAACGGGGAGACGGTCACGGAGGGAAGGGGTTCAGGGCAAAGATCTGCAGCAGGCCACAGAGGAGTGGGAGCCAGCCTCGGGGCACGTTCCGGGAGTCTGACGTGGGGAAGCAGGCAGGGGCAGGCGTGGGGTCTGCGTGACCAGGAGTCCTTCTGAGCAAGAGCGAGAGAGGGGCCTGGGGGTGAGGCAGAGCTCCACGCTGGCGGTGCCCGGACTGCACTGCCCTGGTGCCACTGTGGGCTCGTTAATGTGTGGGCATATGGTACTGGGCAGGTGGAGCAGCGGGGAAGGCCTGGCTCAGCTGCTCCTGCTACGTGTAGAGATTTTGGGGAGAGAGGATATTGCTAGGGTGGATGCACTTGCCGGAGAGACAGAGAGAGACAGAGACAGAGAGCCAGAAATCATCCCTGAGGGGTGATGGCCATGCTGCAATCCCTTCTCCTTCCTCCTCTTGGGATTTTGGGCACACACGCACATGCACACAGTGCGAGGTTTAAGTCACCGGGTCATTGACTCAAACCGTGGTCAACTACATGGGAGTCCAGCGACGTAACCACTTCGCCATCTGCTGGTCCCCACACCTGATACTTTTCAAGTCCCAGCGAATTCTTAATTCTAAAAGGAAACCTTTAGAGCTTGTTCAGTCAATATTCCCGTGAGAGCGACAGAGAGGCAGCACCCCAATGAGGTCTTCATGCTGTGGCACACTCCAGGCTCGTGCAGCCCAGACCTCAGGACATGACCCGGGACCTTCCCACGGGGGTCCTGTGGGGTTACTGCTGAGTCCAACCTCCCCCATGCAGATCTTCCAATGAATTTGCACTGTCTGGGCCAGCAGGGCTGTTAAGGCACTGGATCCCACATGGCCGACTGTGATTTGAGTCCTGGACGGCTTTTAAAACGTGCTGGGCACGCGTGTCCCTGTGCCCCGAATCCCGAGGAGACTGGAGGAGAAGGGACTGCAGCATGGCCGTTCTCCTGGGGCTGATTCCTCACCTCCCCTCTCTCTGTGTCTCTCTGGTGGGTACACACACCCTATGGCAAAAATCTAAAACAATAATAACAACGACAGAAGAATCCGCACTTTCTAAAGGCGTGCTGACATACGAGAGAGGGAGAAACTCTTCCCGGAAGGTAAAGAGTTAACTGTGACAGACAGGCAGACAGACAGAGAGAGCCCAGCTCACCATTTCCAGCTCTCGGTGGGCATCCGAGGCGGTACCTTCCCGTTCAGACCCTTCTTCGACCCTCTTCAGAATGTTCTAGGCACAGAGAAAGGCTGTGGTCATTTCCATCAGGTACGACCCATCCCCTCTGGCAGTGGCGGCCTCCTAGCCCAGACAGCCACGCTCCACCACGTGCGTGGTGCTGTTCTCCGGCTGGCAGGCAGGAGGCAGGAGGCAGGAGGCAGGAGGCAGGGCCTGCTGAGACCCGCACCCTGAGCCCAAGCCTGGAGCCAGTCTGTCATGAGGCCCAGGCCCCAGGGCATCCCCTTCTCTGTTCTGTGTCAAGCAGAGCCCTCGCGGCACAGGGCAGTTCAGCTCAGAAGAGGTGTGCGAAGGAAGGGGCAGTGTCGGCAGTGAGGGATCCCCGATGCTCAGGGGGGTCAGCTCTGCCCTGGGGACAGGGCCATCTGGGGCCGTCCCTCCCCTGCACTCTGGGTTGGCGCTCGAAGCCAAGTCGTGACGGCCCAGGCTTTGCTAGCTCTGTCTTACTGATGAGAACTCGTGTTCTCTGCAGGTAACAGGAAACTGCCCGCGTTGCTTTCACTGGAAATGAGGGTGTTGGCGCTGCTCTCTAAACCTCGCGGTGCCTGGCAGTCCTCACCGCGCCTCAGTTCCACCTGTGCTGTCCTAGAAGGCGGTTTGGGAGTGCCTAAGCCCATCTGCCTGTCCTGCCCACTGCCCGCTGCTGCGTCTGTCCCTGCTGTCCCCGCTGTCCCCACTGCATGTCGTGGGGCCTCGGGACCTCAGCCGGAATGTCTAGTGCTGCAGTTACCTGCCCTGCCTCTGCGGACACCCCTCCCTCCCCCGTGGGCCCCTACCTCGCCCCTGCAGGCCGGCC